GATTATCCTATTTAAAAGTATTATAAAAATAATAAGTTATTTATTTATAATTATAATAATATATATACTTATAGTACTTTACCTAATAACTCTTTAAATAATATACCTTTTATAAAGGTATATAAAAATGCCTTTAAAGTAAGAAAGAACATATATAAAGAGAACCTAGATAAATTAAGAATTTATATGTTTATTAATAAATTAACGAATAATATTTATATAGGATAATCTATAAATTTAGCTAATAGATTTAAAAACTATTTTAACCTTAGTCATTTAAAGTATAAAGATAATTTAGTGATTTTAAGAGCATTAATTAAATATAGTTTATTTAATTTTTCTATTACAATTTTAGAATATTATAAAATACTAGATTTAGTTACTAGAGAATAGTACTATTTTAACTTATTATAACCTAAGTATAATACATTAAAAATAGTAGGTAGTTCTCTTAATTATAAATATACTAAAGAAACTAAAAATAAAATTAATACTTCTTTAAAAGGATTTTATGTGTGCGTAAGCTATGAAAAATCAGCTTTATTCGGTTATATTACTTTAAATGAAACTAAAACATTAATAAGTATTAAAAAATTAAAGGAAAATAATCCTTTATTTAGTAAAACTTATAAGAAATCTACTATTAAACTAATAAGATAAAAAGCTATTAGTAGAACTCTTACTAAGGAAACTAAATTAAAAATAAGTTTAATTAAAGGTAATTCTATATATATATATGAAAAATGTTTATTAAAAGGATTTAAATTAATAGGTAGTTTTATTTCTACTAGAAGAGTAGGTAAATTCTTAAATATAAGCGATAGTATTATTATAAAATATAGGAACTTAAGAGAAATATATAAAGATAAATATAAATTTTTTACGTAATATTAAACTTATTAAAAAAAATTAAAATAACTATGAATAAAATTCCACTATATGCTGGAAACTCCTAAAGCCTTAAGTACTTTATAACAGTGACAATCTTAATGGATATAACAATGGATAATCAGCAGGAAACCAACAGATATTTTGAATATCTTAGTAGGATCCTCAGAGACTACACGTGGAAACCTATAAAAATAGGTAAGATATAGTCCAGTTATGTAAGAAATTACATAAGAATTTTGACTTTAATCGAATTAATATGAACTATAACACCAGCTGTTATATTAATATTAATTGCATTCCCTTCATTCAAATTATTATATTTAATGGATGAAGTTAACGATCCTTCAATGACTGTAATAGCAGAAGGTTTCTTTTTTATAGGTGGCCTTAAATTATATATATTAAATAAAATAAAAGAAGCCAGATATGGAGAAAAAAACAATACTTTAGTATCGAATAAACTAGCTCAAGTTAAAGGTACGAATATTTTAAGTTTTAATCATAGACTAAAAAATTTAAATAAATATAATAATTTATATTATATTAAAACATTTCATACTAAGATAAGAGCTTTTAGTAAAATAAAACCTTATAATAAAGAAGTTTTATCTATAATTATAGGTTCTCTATTAGGGGATACTTACGCTAATATAAGAATAATAGAAGGAACTAGAATTTATTATAGATAAAGTAGTAAACATATTAATTACTTGTTTTAACTTTATGATTTTTTCTATATAAGAGATTATTATTCTAATTTATAACCTAGAAAATATATAAGAAAACTTAAAGGTATAGAATATTCTAGTTATAAATTTAATACTTTTACTTTTAGAAGTTTTAATTAAATACATAAATTATTTTATAAAAAAGGTATAAAGTATATAAATCCTTAAATAAAGTAATATTTAACACCTTTAGCTTTAGCTATTTAGCTTATAGATAATAGTTATTAAGTTAACTACGGAGTTAAAATCACTATAAATTATTTTAAATTAAAAGAGGTAAAATTACTAGCTAATCTCTTAACTAAACTTTATAATTTAAATTATACAGTTTAAAAAATTAACGGTAAATACTCCGTATATATTATAAAAGATTCTATACCTAAGTTAAGAAATATAATATTACCTTATATACATTTTAATATAAGATATAAATTAGGCTTAAATAATAAAAAAGTATAAGTTCTTTTAACTAAAGTTTTTACTTTAATATATATATATAATAGTTGTAAAGATATGGAGAAAAAAACAATACTTTAGTATCGAATAAACTAGCTCAAGTTAAAGGTACGAATATTTTAAGTTTTAATCATAGACTAAAAAATTTAAATAAATATAATAATTTATATTATATTAAAACATTTCATACTAAGATAAGAGCTTTTAGTAAAATAAAACCTTATAATAAAGAAGTTTTATCTATAATTATAGGTTCTCTATTAGGGGATACTTACGCTAATATAAGAATAATAGAAGGAACTAGAATTTATTATAGATAAAGTAGTAAACATATTAATTACTTGTTTTAACTTTATGATTTTTTCTATATAAGAGATTATTATTCTAATTTATAACCTAGAAAATATATAAGAAAACTTAAAGGTATAGAATATTCTAGTTATAAATTTAATACTTTTACTTTTAGAAGTTTTAATTAAATACATAAATTATTTTATAAAAAAGGTATAAAGACCAGCTGTTATATTAATATTAATTGCATTCCCTTCATTCAAATTATTATATTTAATGGATGAAGTTAACGATCCTTCAATGACTGTAATAGCAGAAGGTTTCTTTTTTATAGGTGGCCTTAAATTATATATATTAAATAAAATAAAAGAAGCCAGATATGGAGAAAAAAACAATACTTTAGTATCGAATAAACTAGCTCAAGTTAAAGGTACGAATATTTTAAGTTTTAATCATAGACTAAAAAATTTAAATAAATATAAAGAGAAATATATAAAGATAAATATAAATTTTTTACGTAATATTAAACTTATTAAAAAAAATTAAAATAACTATAAATAAAATTCTATTATATACTAGAAACTCCTAAAGCCTTAAGTACTTTATAATAGTAATAATCTTAATAGATATAATAATGGATAATTAACAGGAAACTAATAAATATTTTAAATATGTTAGTAGAA